GTTTTTCGTGAGGGTGCTTAGTAGTGTGTATCTGAAGGGACGCTGCCACTAGGTGTAAATCGTAGTTTTCGAAGGCATGCGGAGTGCAAATTAATCGAAAACCGTTACCGACAAAAAAGCGTAAGCTTTTGTGGTGAATAGGATACACACGAAAAGTAGTTGGGGACCTGATCGTTAAATGATTACTTGTGTGAACGTTTGATCATCTGCTCCGAAGGGTCGTCTGATGCTCACTGTGCGCACAGGCAGCTGTGGTGAATAGGTACATGGGACGTTGTTGTGAAGTGATCGCAAGTGTGACATCCTGATGGGTGGTTGCTGCTTGACATACACGACCTTCATTGGTCTGTGATTCTGATGATACAATTTACTCATTTTTCCCCAACTTAATATTGTTAATAGAAACATTAATAATGAAGATTATACTTGTCTTCTACTTGTGAAGGATCTGTCCCTGAAGCTGGTAGAGATGGAAGGTGAGTTTGCTGCCTGGCATGCCAGTGTAAAAGCAATGTTTTTCCAATTGTTTATCCACCTGTTACTATCATTTATTTGTATTTATTACAGTTATTGGTTGCTATTACATATAACATATACATATATAGCATTAATAGAAGGTAATAATTATACTATTATTTAAATAATGAAGATTATAATAGTGAAAAAGAAAATCTTTATTATATGTGATAGTCAAATAAATCGACTTGTTATAATTGAAATATAATAAACTGAAAATAACAAAGGATATCTAGATTACCCAATGATCGTTTCTTGACATGATGGGAGGGCAGGGTGGGTGGTATAAAGATGTGAATTACATGATACTTGACCTCCATATGGCGTGATTTGGGCAACGTTATGAAATGACCAAGTTTTTAATAGCGGCTAACAAGTATCCATTTGCTCAGTAAATACATAACTTTTAAGGTATGTCTTGTTATTGATAATCTTCTTACTGCACAAGTACAAGAATATCATTGGAATAATGTCTAACGCGTCTACTCATACATATAGCACTTTGCTATAACTCGTTTTGAACAATGACATGGTTTATCGACCACATAACCAACTTTGTCGCACATGGTAAGAATTCTTACTGGGTAAATCTGTTGAGGGTCTGTATCTGAAGGTATACTGCCACTAGGTATGAAAGCTGGATAATCTTGAAAGCTCTCTTGTAGTGAGGGTTACTTAGTATGTGTTATCTGAAGGGACACTACCACTAGGTATAAATCGTAGTTTTCAAGCACGCAGAGTGCAAATTAATCGAAAACTGATACCGACAAAAAAAGCATGAGCTTTTGTGGTGAATAGAATACACGAAAGGTAGTTGGGGGCCTGATCGTTAAATGATTTGCCTGCTGTGAACGTTCGATATCCGCTCTGAAGGGTCGTCTGTGCTCACAGCGCGCACAGGACGTTGATGTGAAGTCATCGAACAAGCGTGACATCCGGACGGGTGTTTGCTGCTTGACGTGCACGTCCTTTATTGGTCCGTGATTCTGATGATACTGTTTACTCATTCCTTTGTTAATATTATATCAAAGTAGGCTTCTTGAATCGAGATTTTGCGCGCAACATGAGTCATGCGTGAAATCAATTTTCGTCATCAATCATCAGACGGAGGTGTTGGCACTGTTACGAGTGGTTCGTGGTACTGGTGGCTGCAATAATAGTAGTATTACTAGTGTGGAGATGGCGAGACGGGTGGTTGTAATGTTTTAATAAAATGATTTATAATAATGGATACGGCGTTCGTTAAATTTTATTGAAGTGTATGAGTAAATAGAAAGCAGGCAATTAGGTCAACTCTTAATATGAGTGGCAGCTTTATTAAGATCTGCTTTTTGAACTTTCATATCGATTTTGATCGTGATGATTAACAACGAAAATTGATTTTGCGTCTTCGAAAAATTAAGCCAATCGGTATTAGTATACATAGTCAAACTCGATAAGATAAAGTCGACGGGCTGATGGTATCGGTTTAAGCTATAGAGGTTTTATTTTATCGAGACAATCAATACTCCAACGTAAATTACGCAATAAAGATTTCGTGTCATAAGAATAATTTTCCTGATTCTGATCAAGATAAAGTACAAGTTTGTCTAATGCACAAAGAGCTTCTGAAGGAGAGATATTAGGTTGTTCTTGATTTTCGGACAACTCATCTTCAGATAGCTCTTGAATCGTTTGAACAATGTCCTCTACTGTTAGTGTATCATTAAACTGAACCAAATTTTCGAGATTTACATATTCTTTTACTGTCGATAACTGATTTAAGAGAGATTGCAAGTCCGTTTCGTTATCATCAGGGAAATCAATAAATTCGTTGACAATGTCAGTTCTCGGATTTTGCACCAAAATCCCAGTCTTGTCCCAGCAAT